CAATGGAAATACAATTGCGCAAAAATACGTTATTGACACAAATGATGTCAACAAAATTGCGTTGGACGGCGTTTACTGGGGCGTGAGTTTCTCACTTTGGCTGGTGTCCAAAACAATAAAAATAAAGTGGGCTGTCATGGAAAATCGTTTTAAAACGGCCACACTCTTACGATGCTCATTGTTTTTCACGACTGCTGATCGAATAATTCAAACAATTTTTATATCAATTTAGTTATTAAATTATATTAAATAGCAAATGTTTTTTTCTATTCAACTGCTATGAACATGATATTTATCACAGCGTATGAAATATAATAAACACAAATAATATTCTTTATTAAAAATAATAATTTATTGTAAATTATTTGTGGTTATATTTGACTAACAATAATAAAATTGAAATCATTCGTTTTTTCAAACACATTTTGTGTTATTTTTATCAATTTTTGGAAAAATCCAAAAAATGTTTAAATTATAAAATAACTATATATTATAACAGGTTCCTTGCATAAGGTAAAGTTTCACATAAGGTAAAATGACCATACTGTAATTGGTTTTCTTCAAATTTCGTAAATACTCAATCTGTAAAACTTTGCCTTTTGCCACATTATTGAGTAAATAAAGACTGATTTTTTTTTAAAAAAACTATTACGAAAAGTTTTTTGAATTGTTGCCATATTATGGCGAAATGCCGTTTTTTTAATTTAAATTTATGAATTTGTTGATATACAGATGTGAGAAGTATGTCAACGAGCACCAAAATTTCGTTTTATTATTTAAATACTATTTGAATAATAATAATCAAATTTTCTTATTTATTTTATAAACATGGTCAAAATATAACATTTCATATTTAGTTTTTACAATAGTATAATAATTATTAATTATTAGTTGAAACCAAAGTCCTGATCAAAACCTGAGTTCCACATCTGTAAGCTTCAAATTTTTGTATTTTTTAAAAACTTCATTTATGATAAAAATATTCTATTATCAAATATTATTATTGTTGTTTTAAGTGTTAATTTAAAAAAACTAATTATTGTTTTGGTTCAAATTACTTTTTACGATTCCAATCTAATCTCAAATATACAATTAAAAATGTTTATTTATTTGTTTTTAACACTTTTTGTGCTTAAAACCCAATCTTATGAATGCGACTGTCAACCAATCGGAATTGATCAATCTTTAGGTTTTTGTTCAAATGGAAATTTTAATTGTAATCAGTTCAATTCGTCAACTTATTCTTTGTGTTTAAATAAAGATTTTCGATTTACTGAACTGACAATATTTGGTTCACTTCTAATTTCATCCCCAAATGTTATTACAATCAATTCCAGAGCTTGGGTTGATGCTTTTCAACTATTTTATATCAGCAAAGACACCACTGTTGTTCTAAATGGATCATTTCACTCGGAACATAATTTTACTGTCGAAGATAATTCGACAATAAAAGTTTTTGGTTCTTTTTCAATTAGTGGAGAATTGTTGATTGAAAACCCACAACTTGATAAGCCCCCAATTGTGTTATGGAAATCTGATTGGCTTCACTTGTACACAAATACCACTGATAAAAATTTTTATATAACAAATCCCACTGGAAATTCAAAGTGTTTTGACGTGTTTTCAATGAACAATTCTAATTGTTTTAACTTTGACAATGATGACTCTCATTTACATACAACAGACTTCCCTTATAATTTTACTGATGGAACTGCATTTCTTTTATCAAAAAATAGACTGTTGAGATTTTGTCCAAAAAATACAACACTCGAAAGAACCGTGGTGTGTACTTTAAATCAAAGTGTATATCAAACAAGTTACAATGGAAATAAAAATTATCCGTTTGAATATCCACACTGCCCATGTGACGACGAAGACACAAATTGCTATTTAAATTTGAATCAAAACGTTTCAATTGTCGATTTTCAAAACGTACAAATGCTAAATACAATTTTTGTGATTGATAAAAATGTTGACATTCATAATGCAAATAATATCAAAGAAATTCAAATCAAAGACGATGTCCGTGTTAATATTACATCGCTGTTTAATTATTTCAGTACCAACTTTTCATTTGGAACATTAACTGTAACAGACACAAATACACAAAATTCATATTCTTTTAATTACAATTCGACAACACACACATTGACAGTAGCTCCAAAATTGATTTTTGATATTGAAATATTCAGTCAAATTACAGAAATAAAAATTGATGTGGAAGTAACTATCGAAAATATTTTAATAAGTGGAAAATGCTTTGTATTCTTTGGAGAAAATGTGACAGAAGTACATTATTTATCATTCACCCAATCATTTAATGCGAGTGATGTCGGTGTGTTGTATTTTGAGAAAGATAAAACTTACAATTTAATTAGTCCGGATTGTATTCTGATGAAAAGATCATTTTCAAGTACAATTTGTTTAAAATGTAATACAAACACAAAACTTGGAAATGGAAAGTGTGTTGGTCTATCACAAAATTGCAAAACAATCAACTCGGAAAATTATTGTGTCGAATGTCAATATGGTTATTATTTGAATGCCAATAATGATTGTATACAATCTAATAACAATTGTCAAGTTGGTAATGAAAACGTGTGTATTAAATGTGTAAGTAATTATATTATTGATAATGGACAATGCACAAAAAACAAAGACTGTAAAGCAACGAACGGGATTAATTGTATTAAATGTTATAAAGGAGAACTCAACGCCAATTGTGGTTCATGCAGTGATGTCAATTGTATGACATGTGAAAACAACAGGTGTATTGTATGTAATGATGGCTATTATCTTGGAGATGATGGAATGTGCCAGTTAACAATCGACACATCGATTTATGTATACAACGACATTATTTACTGTAAAGATGGGTATTACATAGATAACTCTGAGTGCAAAAGTTGCTCAACAAATAATGCGAATTGGATGAAATGTGATGTTGAGAAGCCAATCAAATGTTCAAATGATTTTGAAATCACAGAGAGTGGTAGTTGTGAATCGATAACTTGCAAAAACAATGAAAAGATAGAACAGAATGGGAGGTGTTCTGTAACACAAAATAAGTGTGCGTTTACACTAAATAATAAATGTGTTGAATGTACTGATAATTACACGATAGACGATAATGGAAATTGCATACAAAACAATGGAGAAATTGAACAATCCAATTGGTCATTTTTTCAGCATTTTCGGCTCCCCAAAATGCACCCATATTTATTTCGAATTGTTTTGTGAGTAATCTTCTATACAAAGACATTGTGCTTTCATCATTAAATTTCATTGTATCACCAATAAAATAATAGCCATAACAATTTGACGCAATTTCTTTCAATTCGTTTCTTGTTGCTTTACCGACAGACGCCATTTTCCTTTGAATGGTCTTACCAGAAATATTAATATTCAGTACATTTTCTTAAACATTACAACACATTTATACAGTCTTATCAGACTCAACATTAAAGTGCATTGATTACAACTCAAATTTATTGCAGAAAACGATTAATAGATATACGATATTTTTCATAAAGTTTTGCAGCTGTAACGATTTTTGAAAAAATAGCCAACTTTCCCCAAACAAAAGTTGAACTTTTTTATTTATACCATTTGACATGTATAAGGGGGAGACGGATAATTAGCCTCAGTGAAAACTGGCCACGGGGAAAACTGGCTACATAATAAATTAAAAGTCAAATAACAAAACAACTTTATTTTCATTTGTTTTTTATAGAAATGTGATAAAGTAGTTGTAAATCCCTTGAAGATTTTGGTAGATCTTTCATTCGAACCAAGTGTAAAACATAATTCTATTATTTTTTTATTTTGTTTGTTTAAATAACCCTGGTTCACTTTGTTTTTGCACACTTTTTGGAACAGTTTTGAAAATTTAAGACTTGAGATATTTTTGAAATTAATTTTTACCCAATCAGAGAAAAGTCATTTTAGAATAAATTTTTGTTATTTTTCGTTTTTTTAATGCGAAATTTTTTATTTTTCTTGTCTCGGAGAAGCATGACGGGTAAAAATGAATATATTATAAATAAAAAAATAAATTTAAAAGATAAAAAAAAGTTGATTTGTTGAGTCAATAAGAAAAAATTGACGATATAACTCAAAAGTATGAATTTTATATGTAAAAACCATTTCGATATTGAACTTTATTTGTTCTTGTTCTTTATTTTTCTATAGATATAGAAAAACAGTTTTGTAAAACAAATGTCAAATAAACTTAAAAGGTCTGTTTAACAGAAATAAAAAGATTTAATGTAATAGAAAAGGAGAAGCATCAGTTACCACAAAGCAAATACACGACACCATAAGAAAAATACAAGATCTTGGTGTAAAAAAGCCGAAGAGATAAAAGTAGCAAGAGCCGCCGTTACAAAAGAACATATAGTTATGTATCTTGCAGAACTTAAACATGCAGTCAATGGTAAATATGCTTCAATTGTTTATAATTTAGATGAGGTCGGTTTTGACCTTTACGTGGACACTCTTGCGAAATCGGTGTGCTTTTCTAATGTTGTTAAAGAAGAAGTGTACACCCCAATTCTGAGTCGAGGTGACACTATAACTTTGCTTGGTTGTATTAGAGCAGACGGAACAAAACTCAAGCCTTTAATTATAATTAGTCGAGTAACATTATAGCTTAATGTATTGGCTAAATTACACGATCTGGCTATCATAAAAACTCAAGAACGTGGATTTATGAATTTGCCGTTGAACACATCAAAAAGAACGGAATTGATGTTATATATTTAAAACCACATACCTCCCACCTTTGTAAACCATTGGATCTGTTTTTTTTGCTGCGGTCAAAAGCCATCTTAGTCGTAATGAACTTCTGAAAATGGAATTTACAAAGTACATGTCAGAGAATTGTGTCACCTCTGATAAAATATTCAATGATTTAGTCAATATCAAAATACAGTTTGCAGAGTCCACAGTTGAAAGAAGAATTTTATACATATATGATTCCTAGAAAGCGAAAGACCGTCCAGAACTTATTCAAAACGCGTTTAAAAAAGCTGGAATAGCTTTACTGCCTATCATTGACGAACTTAAAGATGAAAACACTCCAGATGCAGCCAGAGATTATTGCGTATGTGTTGTTGGAGTTCGATATTCACGTTGTATGCGTCACTTTCTATATGGAAAAGAGATGCCATAAGAGTATTTTTATAATACTTCTCTTCCATCATAGCAGCCGCCAACAATCTGTGGTCGCCTTGAATTTGTGTGAATCCATAGTACTGCAGTGGGACACTTAAGGAAGTCCATGCGTCGCTGCTTTCTTCTTAAATCGAATAGTCTGGCTTAATAATATTCTTCCAATCTCAAAACAACAAGAAATTCACCAATTTCTAATTCGTTGTTTGACTGTTTTGTCTTTAATTAATCCAGTTGTTTGTGTCATTTGTGTGTAGTAGTAAAAATACAAAACAACACCGACGGAATCACGCCGTGGTTCAACAAACCCCACATATGTCCTATCTTACCAATGTACGTCATTGCGAAAAATTCACCGTCTCGAAGCTCCGTTTTTGCAAGCCAGTTCAAGAACTTTTCTGTAACTACAAAACTCCATTTTCGTATGACAGAACATCAATTTTATTAGTATAAACATTTCAAACGTTTATTACATTTAACAATAAATATTATATTTTATTATAATTTAAAACAAGCTAGATTGTTTTATTGACTTGTTTTTTATAGTACTTTTATATTATATTCTTGACAACAATATTATAAAATTAATAATTATAAAAATGATTGTTAATTAAAATTAATTTAATTATGATCTATATTAAAACACACCAACAAACAAACTGACTGACAGTTCTCATCAAATTAATTACTTATAAATATGGTAAATATATTATTCAATAATAGCTTTGATAAAATTTACAAAAAGATCAACAATAGAATGAAGATAATTGAGGTTGTTTTGTTTCAAATACTCTGTTTTATTAAAAAGAGGAAGGTGACATTAATACAATACGAAAAGATTTGATTAATGCTTTGAAAAAAGTCATATCAAATGAAAATCAATTTGCTCCTTGCATGAAAAAACCCATAATTCTATTATACGATGAAACTTCTGATATCACCAAATCCAAATATACCGAATGTATAACACAACTATCATTGAATACTTCGAAACTGGAAATAGGAGAAACTTTTTCAAAATTTGAAGTATTAAGAAGTGATGAAAATACGATGACATATCAATGCACCTTTTCATATTTACCGAGAGGAAAATAAAATTGCACATTACTTTTAAAAGATAAACAAGTTGAATATCTTTTTGGGAAGGAAAAATGACTGGCAAAATTAAAGTAAAAGAAATTTATGTGAATGACATCAACTAGTTTTGTTTTCTACTTGAGAAGCTTGGACTTGATATTAGAGAGAGAAATGATTTTATAGTGTACTGGTTAAAAGAATTAATTAAATATAAAAAGATAGGCGTACTTTTAATCAATGAAGAATATGAAAAAGCAGCGAAACTCGAGGTAAGTGGATTTGACAAGCAATTACGTGTAGTTATTGGTCTTTTTGAAGCTGATGGAAAAGATGTAGATGGAGTTGATACCATTACAAAGTTGAAAGGCCGACTGGAAAATATATTGTTGAATGGGGCGCTTTTGTTATCAAAATTGATTAATTTTTTATTGTTAATTTGTAAATTAAAAAAATAAAGAATCACTTCATTTTTTTACTTTCGTCATCTTCCTTATCTTCTCTTTTTGGTGATGTAGTTGGATGTTCTTTTTCTATTTTTCTTGATTTACTTGTGTCTGTGGTTCCAGAACTTTCCCCACTTTCTTCTCTTCTTCTTTTAAGAGGATGAGGTCGACTTTTTGAAAGAGGCTCCTTTCCTTTTCTAGAAGTTGTTTTAGGGGGTTCTGGTATTGTTTGCGTTGGGATTTGTTGTGGTTGTTGTGTTGTAATTTGTGTTTTTTGTTGAACTGTTTTACTTGTATCCATATTCTTTGTAACAACACCCGAAGTACTTGGCTTTTCAGTACTGTCTCTTTCAATATCAATTCCTTTTAAAATGTCGTGAACTGTTATTCCATATGGAGTTTTGAAAGTCGGAGCTTCTGGTTTTTTTAAAGGTAAAGGTGCATGTGTTGTATCCAAAAACAAATGCTTAAGTTGTTTATACAATTGACCACTTTCATCACTTACAACAATTAATTTACCAATAAGTTCATCTAGTCTTGATCTCACTTTCATATAAAGTCCATCTTTAACAAATCCAAATTGTTTGGCGAAGTTATAAATCAGAGTCGTTTTCAGTTGATAAAAATCTATTCTAAGCAAAAAATTACTTTTCATTTGCATTTTAATATTTTCATCAGCATTTGTCTTCATTAACTTTTTGATATTTTCTTTTATGTGAAAAATGAAGTATCCATACCCTTGGTCTATCTGGTGTAAATTATAACATAAATCAAGATATTTGAGAAAAGAAACAAAATCACTTTTTGTTGCTGTTTTTGAATCAAACAACTTCCTCAAATAATCATTAACATACAATTCAATATTTTTCATTTCTTTGATTGCCTGGACTAATTGTGATGGAAATATTTGTTGATTAGAGTGAATAATATATTCAAATGTTTCAAGTGCGCCCGTATATTGATATGAAAAGGTTAAATATTGTGATATTTGTTGCAACAATTCAATAGGAATAGGTTCTGTCTCTTCTTCGGTTGTAGAAGGATTCATTGCAAATGTTGTGAATAGAAACGCAAACAAAATTTTCATTATTTGATATTTATTGATTACAGTTTAATCACAACAAAAGCAACAACAGTCTGTTTTTTATAATTATCTGGTCTCTAACCTTAACTGAAAAACTTTTTGGACCATTCAAATTGAAATATTTCGGGAAACCATCCCAAAAACCCATCCCAATTGTTTCGGGTTTATTCACGTTTCACCCAATGCCCGATGTTTAGACAAAAATGAAGCTATTTTTCACTAGATTACGTTGAAAGACTGAATTTATCTCTTTTATTGATTGGTTTGTTTTAGTATTTTTAGAGGACAATGAAATTTTAGTGTTTCGAAAAATTTCCCGATATATTCCAGTTATTAACATCTAAAAACTGAGGGACAACGTTGGAAAAAGGACAACGTTTAAAGAATGACTCAATATTTATTATTTGAAGCATAAAGGGGCAAAAAACCGCTTCCGTCTTTTTAACCGCTTCCACTTAATTTTA